CTAAACGAAATAAATTAAGAAAATAAAAAAAAAAAAAAAAAACAATATTAATATACAAAGCTTAAAAACTTATAGATTTAAAACAATATGTTCTCTAGTCTCTGTTACCGTTTCCATTTGTATAATTAGTAAAATTTGTAAAGGATTTTTTTTTTAAATTTTAAAATACTTTAGTGATGTATTAATGGCAGACATTTGTGTTCTACATATATTGCAGTTGAAAGCTCTTGAAAACGTAGGGCATGTTTCTTACTACTCTGTTAGATGTGGCTTAACTCGTTGTTTCATTAAACTTGAAACAAATTTGAAATATTACTCGAAATTTTGCCAAAAATCGGTAGATTATCATTATGGATGTATGTAGATGGATCCAAAACTTTTTCGGCTCAAAATTTTATCAAAACTACTGTTTTAGATAATTTTTTCATTGTTTCTTAATTTTAAAATGTGACCTCTGATTTAGAGCGGGTTTTTGAGATGGTAATCAAATGCCAATTAATAATCAGATTAGTTAATCTAAAAATAAATTTAATCTTATGTTAATCCCCTTTGATGTTTTTGAGTACAAGATTAAATTTCGCAGTGTTGCCATACAAAACAACAGAAAATGTCACTGTTTGTTATCAAAACAATGCATATTTTATAAAAAAGAAGAAGACAATTGTAAATTTAATATGAAAATTAATGAAAACTTAAATTAAAAACAAAAAATATATTTTGAAGTGTCCATAATTTATACTAATCAATAAATAGAACATTTTAATGTTTATATTTATAAACATTTTATTAATTTTTTTGCATCAGCTGTTTAAACTTTTACATTTCGTGCTTAAGATTAAACCACCTCCATTGGGCGCTTAAACTTGCAAACAAAATTAACTAATTGAGTACTCAAAAACATCTTTCGAGGATTAATTTTAATTTAATCGCTAATCTTTCACCTAAAGATTGGCCCTTAGTCTGCTGTTATACTCGCAATAAAGTAACCAGCGATCAAGAAGATTCAGAAAACGAAGATTTTGGCCATATTTGATATTTTATATAATCAGTTAAACCCTTATTTCAAAATAGACATATTACACTTTCAAATGGTATAACTTTATAAATAATGATGTCTTCGCGCTGTTATATTGTCTCAATTAAAACCAAAGTTTTTTCAAACTTTAGAACACGATAATATCATAAATCCTATGTAATGTATAAAATATGATGTCAGATTCGGAAGCACAGTTTATTCCTTTTGAAAAAAGTTTTTATCGCTATAAAAAAAGGAGAATTGTATTCAAGGGCCTAAAAAAAGTAGTTAGTTTTATTTTAGGATTTCCTTAAAAAATATGTTTTTAGTATGAAAATAGTTACCAAAATATCGGGACTTGAAAATAAGTTTTTCCTTGGTTAATTTAACAGATTACTAATTTACAATGGGATTAAAAATAATTTATTTTGAAATAAAAACTTTAAACAAAAATCTACATGCTAAAACTACATAAATTAATATGTATAAGAATCAAACAGATATACAGTTTCCATTTAGAACTAATCTGAAACGGCAACAAAGTATATTGAAATTTTGAATAAGGAGTTTTAGTTAAAAACTGGAAATCTGTTTAATACAGTAACAAAGCTAATATATACAATTAATTTAAGAAATATATAATTTTCTACTTTAAAAACAAAACGACAATATTAATTTAACAAAAAATAAATAAACAAAATACAATTTGCTGCTGTTAAATTAACCAACAATTAAAATGTACTAATAAAAGAAGAAGAAAAAAGAAACAAAAGACAACAAAAATATTTGTTAAATTTTTGATTTCTTAAGATGCATGCATATTTTTAAAACAAAAAGAAACATTTAGATTTAGATATACATATGTATGTATAATACTACATATATGTATATTATTTTCTTGTTATCATTATATTATTATATGTATGTTGGTTTGTATATATATATATTTATTATTATATATATATATATATATATATATATAGATTTACATAAAAACAAAGGAACTATATATTTCAGTCTTTTTAGTATAAAAAATATCTATTGTTTGCATAGTAAACATATGTATATGTGTGTGTGTATGTGGCTATGTATGTATTTATTTATGTGAGTTTGTAGGTATATTTATTATAATTTATTTTTAATATATAGTAATTTATTTTTAAATATTTTCTTTATATATTTAAGGATATTTTTTACTTATTTAGTGTGTGTTTGTTTGCTATTTTTCGGTTTTGTTTTTTTTTTTGTTGTTAATATAAAATTTGTAAAAAAAAGTATAAATTTTAATATCTACAGTTTTTATGATTTATTTAATTGAACGGTTTAATTTTCTATTTCTAATAAAATCCTGTCGGTTTGTGTCGGTTTAAACATGGCTCAGCAATTTTATGGTTATTTTTTTTTTAGAGTAGTTCTTACTAAACTTAATAAAAGATACCTACCAAATTCGGAAATAGGTGCTTTATGTAAAAATAATTGAAAATTAAAAAAAAAAGAATTTAAATATTTTATATACCCTTTACCATACGTTTATAATTTTCTTTAATAACAACCCCATAGAGCTTTTATCGTTTTAACGCAAAGTCTTTTTCTATATGTCAGAATTACAACATTCTGTTATTCGGTTATAGAAAATCATCCATATCAATTCCAAGAGAATAAAATTTTCCTTTTAATTACGCTGCTGTATGTTATATTAGGCCAAAATTTGTAACAGAAGTTTGAACCAGACATGATAAGTTCAGGACTTTTGTACTTTATTACAGTACTTTTTAATATCGAAAAAAAAAAAACCCGAAGTACTCCACAGCATATTAACAACATTTTGATATTAAAAACTTTCATAAGTAGTCCATACATTAGTCAATATTTTATTCTATGAACTTGTCCACAAATTAGTCCATAGACTACAGACTACTTCATAGAATAAGTCGAGAAGTTGATGGACTTGTAAATAGACCAGACAGCATTAGATTATGCAATAGAAAAGTGTATAGAGTAGTCAATAGCCTAGTCCTAGACTATTCAAAAAAACAGGTCCATATACTAATCAATAGTCAATATTAGTGAGGAAGTCAATTGATAAAAAAAAGTAATTTAGTACTTGTAATCCAAAAGTGCTCTTTTTTAAAAAAGTACTAACTAGTATTTCAAAATTTAAACTTTCCATGTGTGTTTTGAACCATTTTTCATTAGAATTAATAAATTCAACCGATGTCAATACAAAATTATGTTCGAAAATACTATAACATTGATTGATTTTTGTGGTTTTCTAAGCATTTATAAACCATCAAATTATAATATTGCTTATATCCCTAAAATTTTATTTAGAATTTTAAAAATCTGTTTTGGATTAAACTTTTATTCAAAATACATTAAGTATTGGAACAAAATTCATCTGGCCGTTGCAAAGGGAATCCGAAAATGTTGGTGCAACCTGATAAAGTTCTAACAACTATCACCATAATGTTTAAAAGAGATTTTCTAATGTAAATTATTGAGAACCTTAATATTTATTAAACATTTATGACCACTATTTTAAAGTTTTTACAGTTTAAAGAAAGGTTTTTAAAGTTTATATAAAAGAGATTTTCTAATGTAAATTATTGAGAACCTTAATATTTATTAAACATTTATGACCACTATTTTAAAGTTTTTACAGTTTAAAGTAAAGTTTATAACAAATTCTGATTCATGCAACACCAATTAACATGATTTTACAAAAAACTGAAAAATATATATTTAATTAAAACCTTAAAATGTTTAAAAAACATAAACAGTTACTTACATTGTATTGAATGTTGTTAGGATAACGAATAAGAACGGGTTTTTGAGATGATAATCAAATGCCAATTAATATTCAGATTAGTTAATCTAAAAATAAATTAAATCTTATGTTAATCCTCTTTGATGTTTTTGAGTACAAGATTAAACTTCGCAGTGTTGCCATACAAAACAACAGAAAACTTCACTGTTTGTTATCAAAACAATGCATATTTTATAAAAAAGAAGAAGACAATTGTAAATTTAATATGAAAATTAATGAAAACTTAAATTAAAAACAAAAGAATGTATTTTGAAGTGTCTATAATTTATACTAATAAAAAAATAAAACATTTTAATGTTTATATTTATAAAAATTGTATTAATTTTTTTCAGCTGTTTACACTTTTGCATTTCGTGCTTAAGATTAAACCACCTCCATTTGGCGCTTAAACTTGCAAACAAAATTAACTAATTGAGTACTCAAAAACATCTTTCGAGGATTAATTTTAATTTAATCGCTAATCTTTCACCTAAAGATTGGCCCTAAGAGTTTATTTTAATGGTTTAAAGTCCAAGAATAGCCTGGAGATTATATAGATTTTTTTTAAAATTAATTTTCAAACATAACATTGCATTGCCATCAGATGTCTGTATATTTGTCAAATTTCAGCGTTTTTGGGTTACGGAAACTGGTTCAAACTTTAGTTGGGAACATTTCACCAAAATCCACAAAACAATACAACATTCAAAATTCACTACCAACGACTATTAACATTCAACAATTTCCTCTGGATTTTTTACAATTTTCAAAAACTTTACATAAAAACCAATCAAAATATATTTTAACAGCAAACTTTTGATGGTTAAAATTTTTTTAAAAAGAAAATCCAAACTTTGAATAAGAAGTAATGAGCTATAAGAGATTTTTAAAACGATTTATTCTTATTTTAAAATTTATAAAAAAAATGCTATTGATGGATGTTTCCTTAAGGCAGATTAAAATTAATTTAATTTCATGGATTTGGTAGGAGTTTTGTAATTTTAAACATTGAACTAAAATCATAATATTATTATTAAAATAATTAGTGTAATAATTGCTATGGGCTACTAAAATAAAAAAAAAAAATTGTATCCTAACTAAAATTGCATTTAAAATGCCATGAACAAAAAGTGGAAATACATAATGAGACATACAAATTAGTAGAAATATGAGTTGTTGTTTTTTTTTTTTTTGTTAGTTTTAGTATTATGTGTGTTAAAAAGTATGTATGTAAATGTGTTTTAGTAACATTACTCTATTCGTTTCGTTGTAATTATCTTTAGAGTCGTTAAAAATCGGCAACTATTTTGTTTATTATTTAGTGTGTTAAAGTTTGTAAGTGATGTTTTTGTTTTTGAATTTTAAAATTCTGTAGTTGTTGTTGTTGTTTTTTTTTTTGGCATACCATCTTTATATTAATCATGTATTTAAATAATTAATAATTATTTATACACATACATATATAGTTCATTTGCTTCCTCTTTCTCATTAATATTTTGTTTAAATAATTGAATTTGTTTAATTCTCTAGGTGACATTCTTTTATTATTATAATAATTTTTTTCTTGTTTTCTTAATTTAAGCGTAATTCTGTATTTACATTTTCTATAAACATAAAAAAAACAATGTTGAAAATCATAAATTTTATCTTCACCGTTGGAAAGAAATATTTTAAAGCAGAAAAATACAAAAATTTAACTTCTAATAAAACTTTTTTAAATAACACAGGCCAACAAAGTGTACTTTTCTAAAAGATTCACTGAATACGAATCTTGACTCAAAATTTCTTCATCACAACAGGTTTTCCCTAAAATTGAAAAAAACTTCGGTCATATAACAGCGAGAAGACATCTTTTTTTATAAAATTTGTTAAGTGGTCTAAAAGTTCAATCTATCGACTTTAAAATAAAGATGAAACTTCTATTATAACGTAGAAGAAGTATATTCTTTGAATTGATTGATAAAACTAGCATATTGGACTTTCTGATGACATATACAAATTGTATAAAGATGTCTGTCTTCGCTCTGTTATTACGTCTTAAATATGGCCAAAAACCTTTTTTTCAATCATTAGGATACGATATCTGAAAAACCTGATGCGATAGAAAAATTCTTATACCAGGTTCAGATTCTAGGTTGTTCAATCCTTTTAAAATGTACATTTTGGTATCTGGGTTTCGACTTTTTAAAATTTTGTTGGCCGTTGTTATTAAAGACTTTTTAAAGCGAATCTGAAATTAGGAAATACAAATTGTTTTATATAGAAAGCGTTATTTTGACGTAATCATAATTCAACAAAATTGAGCTACAAAAATTATCATATTCGTAAAATGAGATTTGGATTTTTTTTCTTAATAATTCAGATCCATGTTTTAAACAAGTCATCACATATTTGAAAATATTGTAATAGATGTTTTAAATAGTAAAGTTATTATATTTTGTTATAATTATGTATTTGTAGGGTTATAAATATTTCTGTCCATTAACAAAATAAAAACAAGGACTTTATCAACACCGTTATTTGTTTTAGTTGTTGTACAAAATTAAAATAATAATAATAATAGTGTACTAACTACTAATATTAGTACTAGATACTTTATACTTAATATGTACATTCAATAAATATAAGATTTCTAATGCTACTATTATTATTATTGTTGTTGTTTCGTTTAATATTATTATTAGAATTATTAAATATTATTTACAAACGCAGTTGTGTATTAATCCAACTCAGTCAGTAGGTAAATATTATTTTTCTCTTACATATAAATACATAATTGGTTAATGATTTTGTTTATTTGTTTAAGTTTTTCTTATTTTTTTTTTAATTTTTCGTTAAGCTTACGTAGTTTCACGTCCTACAAAACCATTGGGCGGCGGAGGGGGTTGTGTTTGCTGGTGATGTTGTAGTTGGGCGGGTTGTTGCTTCAGCCAGTTCTCTTTCGTTAGCAGTGTGGTGGTAGCTATCAATGATGTTTTAGGTTTTGACGGTTGCTGTTGTGATGTGGTAGTTGCTGTATTGCTACTTCGACTGCTGCTACTGCTACTTTGGCTACGACTTCGATTGTTAGGATGCTTTTTCTTTTGGTTACGATCATTACTGCTACGCCGGCTTAAAGGTATTCGATCGGATTTCATACCCTTGCTGGGGGGTATATCATCGTCTTCTTCGTCTGTTTCATGACTTGAAGAGGTTGAATGTGCGGAAGATGAGGATGAATATTTTGTAAAACGCTCTGTTCCTGCTCCAGTTCGACTTAGAGCTAGTGGCGGTTGTGATGTTGGTAATACTGTCGTTGACATTGTACCACTTAAGGCTGAAGGTGGTGGTGGTGGACCCATCATTTGATAGTTGGGATTGTTACTTATACTGATGGCACTAGGTTCTGGAGCTTTTGGTTCATTCATCATAACATACGATGAGAGGTTTTCTATTTTTTGATTGGCGGCGGGAGCTTGCATTAACTGATAGTTTGGATTATCGGTTGTATGTAATAAAGAACTGCTGCTCATGGCAGCTGGATTGTTTGTAGAAGTTGATGCACCGGTTGTATTGAGTGATTCATCTAATACCTGATAGTTGGGATTTGAACTCATGGAGAAGGCAGAGGATGAAGACATTTTGGGTTTATTTGTGAGCGTATCACCACTACTGCCCTCAAGTCTTTTGTAGTTTGGATTTTCGCTTGTACTACTAGCGTTGTTGGTTGTGTAGAAACGGGGATTAGCACAATAGCTACCAGCGCTGCCACTTCCACCACTCTCTATTGTTCCCAGATTTTGGCCACTCATACTTTTACCGCGGCCTCCTCTGGTTAGATTGTTACTGCTGCCACCTGTTCCGCCTCCCACTGCCGCTGTATTGGGGTTAGAGCTGGTGCTCTTATAGCTGGCATTGCTGCCCGAGCGCTTGTGTGTATTAAATAGGATACTTCTAAATTTAGCCGTCACATTATTTCCCAACGAATCGGCCACAGCCCTTAGACTTGGATATTTTCCCGTTCCAGTCTTAGAAGAGGCATTAGATGAAGCAGCCGACGCTGTTGAGGGATGTAGTGAGGATGATGCTGGTTGTCCTATTACCTCATCAGGCATTGAGCTGGACAAAGGCATAATTGTAGGTTGCCTTTGACGTGGTTTGGAGTGTGCCAACAAATTTTGACCCGCCGTTGAATGTACACCCAAATCATCTTCGTCATCATCACCATGAACATTGGTAGGTACTTTTTCACTATAGTTCGGGCTGGGATCGTACATTTCATAACCCTGTTCATCCGATTCTCGTTTGATTTCCATCAAGTCTTTCATTTCAAAATCTGGAGGGACATAGGCATCAACATCGTCAGGACGCTGCTGACGAGCCTGTTGCTGGGTATAACGTGTAGGTTGATAGAGATTTCGATGATGCGGATGGGTATGGGGATGTGGATAATAACTGATGCCTGGACCGGCCTTCCTCAGTTCAGCGGATGTTGAGGGCGCCGAATTAAGCATTTGATTGTGCGAATTGATAATACGCGACATATTAAAATTGTTTCTAACATGTTCGTCTGGCGTGCTACTAACGACAATAGGTGAGCCTGTTAGGCTGTAACATAATAATACAGTAAAATAGTACACAGTCAATGTTAACGCTCGTAACGCAATAAATTTATATGGTAACAACAATTTTTACAGTTTCATTTCTTTATATATCTTAAAGTTAGAATTATTGCACTAATAACAACATACCTGTAAGGTGAATGAGGAGCATCGTCGTCTATGACCATAGATGAATCTCCACGATGTTCAACCGATGAATTATTGTCCGTATTTAATTTATATCCACTATATTCTTCCAAACGAAGCGGAGTTGTTACGTCTTCCATATCGTTGTCATGATCATCGAATACATCGCCCGAACGTTGATTTCGTTCTTTAAATAAAATAATATAGAATCGTTAAAATAACATTATTTATTATATTATTAATCCCAAATACCTGTTATTTCCTTTACTAGTATTTGTTGACCTTCTTCCGAATGATAGAATGACACTTCACGGAAATATGGATCTGCCGAATCGAGTAGATATCGTATAATTTCCATAAATGTTGGTCTAGCCGAAGGTCTATGATGCCAGCATTTTTGCATCAAACTATACAATTTATCGGGACAGTTTTCTGGTCGCTCCATTACACCTCCATCGATTACATATCTTAAAACTTGATCGTTTGATAATCCCTTAAAAAATGAAATGAAAACATTATATATATTGAATAATATTTTGCTGCCACACAGTGTAATTATACTAAATTAATTTCCCTAATTCTTTATGTTACATTAGAATTTTTCCAATCAAATAAAAAATTTATTTATTATTTTTAAACTATGTTTAGAAACAGGTTTTCTGTGGAGTATAATCTTACCTGATATGGCTGTGCTGCCAATGTTGCCATTTCCCATAGTACCACACCGTAACTGAAGACATCACTGGCAGAGGAGTAAACACCATCTCTTAAACTTTCCGGAGGCATCCAACGAACTGGTAACAGACCTTTTGTTCCTTTACGATAGTAATCGTTCTCATAAATATCTCTAGTCATACCAAAATCTCCTATTTTCACCGTTAAATCAGCGGCTACCATGCAATTTCTAGCCGCTAAATCACGATGTACGAATTTTTTCGCTGCCAAATAAGCCATACCGTCAGCAATTTCAATGGCCATTTGATAAATGCGACTTATTGGAGGTGGTTGCGCAGGTATTTCAGATCGTGCCGATAATGGCATATCGTTGCGATCGTCGGGACGGTGAGCACGTAGATAAGATTTTAAATCACCATTCTTCATAAGTTCCATGACAACCAAAGCAGGTTGACCGCGCGAACAAACGCCCAATAAACGAACTACATGGAAAGTGTCAAACTGTTTCATTACGCAGGCTTCATTCAAAAAGTTCATGCGCTCTCTATCGGTGGCATTCTCATTCACCGTCTTAATGGCACAGGGTGTATCTTCGCTGCTATTGTTGTAGCCTTTTAGAATACCCTCGTAAACCATACCAAACGAACCCTGACCCAAAGGATTGAGTTGTATAACTTTGTCTCGAGCCACTTCCCACTCATCCGGTATATATTGTAGACTAATATAATGCGGATTTACAGAGGGGAATATTTTCAAGTCCGAAGGAGGTGCCAAAATACGCCTTCTGCACAGACAATAGATTGAAACACCTATTAAAATTGCCGCCGAAAGCGCTCCAACCACTATGCCAACAATAACACTTGTCGGCATGGTAACAGGCTGAAAATTTTCAAAATTATTTTTGTTAAATTCTTAGCGAAAAATGAAAGTATCTTCTTATTCCTTACCGGTATAACAACCCAAATGGTATCCGAAAACTGTCCCTCGCCAGCTAACGTATTTGTATTTATTCGTATTGTATAGTTACCGGGATTGAGATTAGATATTGGATAACCATTTTGATGATAACCCAATTCTATATAATCCGATTCAGTTATACATTTTTTCTCTTCCACAGCATCGGGTGATTGTAGTAAATATAATATCGTATATGATACGACAGCGCCATTCGGATGTTTCGGACTTACCCAGAAAACACGTATATTGCTTCTAGATGAATTTGTTGTTTCCACTTCACCCCTTATGTGTTCCACTCGATCGACATTCTCTGCAAATTATAATTTAATTTAAAAAATTGCCAAACAATTTTTCATATTATTCATACTCACCAAGTTTAAGTGTGCGTACATGGGTTCTTACTTCCATACTGCAATCGGGTAAAGTGTCATTAGGAGTATCTTTTTCCCTACAAGCTTCCACACCCAACATATACCACGAAAAATGTTTCAAGTTTGAGAAAACAAATTCCGTCATCGAGGCATTCACTGAATCAACAACAACTTCATAATAAGTGCCCTCAGGATCCATACGAGTTTCGTTATATAAAAGTGTACCATCACCCTGAGGATCGACTGTTGTAGTGGTCGTTGTTGTTGGTGTTGTAGTATCATGTATTGAATTTCCCTCGGCCGGTGCATCCCGTATATGACGCAATAGAAAACTATCGAAAGGATCTCCCTCAATAGCACGACGATTACGGCTACTATTCGCTTCTAACGCCTCTATCGCATTCATATTTCTTCTACTCGATCTGGTTTTATTCTCTTTTCTATGAAAAGTTTTAGAAATTTTATAATTTTTAATATTAGATATTTGTTTACAACTCACTTAACATAGACAAAATTTTGTAGAGCATTTTCTAGTTCAATGCTAGCATGTATGCTCGCATCAATTTCTTCATCATCATACATTTGTGAATTGATCTTTTTACAGTTGCAATTCTTTGGTATGGTTGGCTTTTCAGTGATGGTTACAACAGGAATTTCCGGTTTACTAATTTCCTTTAAAGCTAGAAAATGAAAGAAAAAATTAATTTCCTGATATTATAGTTCAGTTCTAGGTCAGTTCTAGTTCTATATTCATACAATATTCGTATTTATTATTTTTCATTCAAATTAACAAAACAGGAATGATCATGCAAATGAATTTATAGTTAGTTGGTTTGAAAGGAGGATGTATATACATCAAATCCGAAGAAATACTCCTAGGCCTCTATCGGACCTGTTGTACGCTCCTTAACCAGTGCCTCAGGTGGGAATCGAACCCACCACCTCCGGTCTACCAGACTAGAACACTAACCACTAACCTACCGGAGGCCACAATGAATTTATATAATGTTCACTAACTTTGCTTCTAAATCCCTCAATTTTTTAAACAAAATGTACTTACGATCTTTGCAATAATTTCGAGACTCTATTCTTTGAATGCGTTTATCATACACAGCTCGTATTTTATACTTAATAAGTTTTCCATTTGCCACAGTGGGTGGTAACCAACTCATAACAATATTATAACTCGAGTTAGCATAGGCTTGTAACTTATTAATACTTTTGGGTTGATCAGATTTAGTGGTAAAAGTATGTATTGCACTCTGGCCATTACGACGTTCAGTTGAAATTGTCAAGGTCTTGACATAAAATGAATAACGTGTATATGGTTTAAGAGTTTGAAAAATATAGAAATTATCTTTAGTAGGATCACTTATTTCCCATCTAATGGAAGAAAGAGAAACAAATTTAATTAAAATTTCATTTTAAAACAAAAAGGAAGGAGCAATACATACTTGTCTTCACATGGACGAAATGCGTGCTTTGTAGCATTGCCAAAGGGATCTTCTATGTGTAAAAATTGATAACCAATGAATGTTCTGGGATCTTCGTATACCATGGGATTGTTGATTTTAACCAGGGCCATAAGTGAACCAATTTTTGCTACTGTTATATTAAGTAATGTTGTATTACCTAGATTAGTTTGAAAATAAGTTTAATAAGATTAATTTGCTTTTTAGCAGTAGAAATACTAAATTTTGAAATGTTGTGAATAAGCTGAGAATTTGTTAACTTCTCGAACTCAATCATGTTTTATTAAGCTTACGATTAGTTACTCACATGAGCCCTTAACACCATTCGAATCTTCGGATACTTCTATTTTATCAAAGCTAGTAACATTCTTTTTCGCTTGTTTTACCATGGGCAGTAAAGCATTAATTTCCGACAAACACAATTTGGGATTAAAGTGAAAATATACAGTACCCCTTAATATCTGGACAGTTTGATTAAGATTCCATATAGTTTCGATATCAGTATTTTCCAGGACATAAAGGGCATATCTAAAGTATTGGAGATTTTAATAAGACACAATTCAGAATAATAATGTACAAAACTTACTTATCTTCAATTAGCTTTTCACCCTCTATATTTTGTAAATTTTTAAAAAATTTCAAATCAAAAACGCCATAGGTGCCCTGAACTTTCAAAGCCGTTTCGATGGTAACAATTGATGATAAACCATAAGCCAAATCCTCCATTAAATGACCTTAAAATAAAGAAATAAAAAACACAAATAAAATAAGCAAATAACAATAAAAACCTTAAATACTTACGACCGCCTCTTTTAATATTAATCATTAAAGGGGATTGAACAATGTGTGTACAACCATGAAATTCTCTAGCCCGGGCAGCACTATCAATAAGACTACCTTGACACTTCTTAGTGCACTTGTCACCACATTCTACACACGTCATATTAACTTTTGTATAACCTTCGGGACAAACCGTGGAACAACTTCCCTCATAAGCCACCAATACCTCTTGACGATTATTTTCATATTTAGTACCAATAATATTGCACGATTCGGCTGTCAAACAACGACGATCCAGGTACTAAAAATTTTTAATTAAATCATATAAATATTGAATTTATTTAATATTTATATTTAACTTACTTTATAAAAATTATCTGGACATTTGTCAATGCAGGTTGTGTTGTAGATGGAGAAATTTCTGCAGCTAATACATTCGTTCAAGTTATTAGGCGAACAGCCACCCAAACAAGCTTCATTGCAGCAAGTGTTTTCGTCAACACAATTATGTTGACATCTCTTGGGACAGACTAGGAAAAGGAAAATATTAATACTAAATCCAATATTTTTTTTTGGCTAAGTTATTTACTTTTTTGACATGATTTACTATTCCAGCAATGACGTCGGCCATGATGTTCCTTACAAGCCAGCTCTTTTGTTCCAGCATTAGAATCTCCCCCATTCCATTGATCACCAGGACAAGCAGGGCATTCAATGGTATCACGGTTATACTAAAAAACAAAGTTTTATTTTATAAAAAAAAACTTCTGTGATAACAATTTGTTTCTTTCTAACCTCAATAACTATGTCCGTAGTATTCGATACAATTTGTGTCCAATCGATGGAATTTACAAAACACAACATCACATTCTTTTCGATTCTTACACCTCCTCTAGATATTGTCGTAAGTTTGGTAAGACCCAGCTCTTCGAGATGTGAATTTGAATATACAATTAAGGCATAACCTTCAAATAACACCCGACCTCGTATAACACTTAAGTTGGGAAATATACGACCAATTGAACGTAAATAATGAACTTGATAAACAATTATATAGTCCGTAACTTCCGTTAACAGAGGAAATGTCTCATTATAGTACTCCAGCGAGTTACCGTTTAGCAGAGTGATGAGTAAAAAACCTTCAATAACCGTACAATTTTCCACTTGACGAAATTGTGATGCTGAATTGCGAATATCAAGAGATTTACAAACTGAAAAAAAAAAAATGAATTCGAAAAATAATTATCAATAAATTAAATGTAGAATAAATATTATTATATTTTTGGCAAGAAAGAAAGAAGAAACATTTTTCCCGTGTAATTCATGTAGAATTTTGTAAACTTTTTATATAAGGGGAATTTCATGTCAAGTGACCCAACTCAAAAAATCGATTCCGACGAAATTTGCACTAAGGTTAGTACTATTGGATGGACAAAGGTTAGGGCTATTGCTGCAAATTTCATCCAAATGGGAAGAAATCAATTTTTAAAATTGGGTCACTTGACACGATCTCCGGTAGGTTTCAGAGTTACTTTTTCAATAAACAGAATGCCTCCGGTAGCTTGGTAGTTGGTGTTCTAATCTGCCAGCTCTTAGGTCGTGAGGTAATTAATAAACTAACTAACTAACTAACTAACTAACTAACTAACTAACTAACTACTAACTAACTAACTAACTAACTAACTAACTAACTACTAACTAACTAACTAACTAACTAACTAACTAACTAACTAACTACTAACTAACTAACTAACTACTAACTAACTAACTAACTAACTAACTACTAACTAACTAACTAACTAACTAACTAACTAACTATTAACTAACTAACTAACTACTAACTAACTAACTACTAACTAACTAACTAACTAACTAACTAACTAACTAACTAACTAACTAACTAACTAACTAACTAACTAACTAACTAACTAACTAACTAACTAACTAACTAACTAACTAACTAACTAACTAACTAACTAACTAACTAACTAACTAACTAACTAACTAACTAACTAACTAACTAACTAACTAACTAACTAACTAACTAACTAACTAACTAACTAACTAACTAACTAACTAACTAACTAACTAACTAACTAACTAACTAACTAACTAACTAACTAAGTAACTAACTAACTAACTAACTAACTAACTAACTAACTAACTAACTAACTAACTAACTAACTAACTAACTAACTAACTAACTAACTAACTAACTAACTAACTGACTAACTAACTAACTAACTAACTAACTAACTAACTAACTAACTACTAAATGATGAGAAACAAAAATGACATTCAAATTACTAAAGCCAAAAACCCCCTTCTAAAGATGACCATTTGTCAAGAATCCCGTATTTTTAAGTTATACACCCAAAACCTTTTTAGCTTTCGTGGAAATTCTTTTCTGCTGCGAAGTTTACTTTATTATTATAAAAAGTGTTCAAAAAAAAGTTTTATACTAAAATAATTTATTCAATTAACACGTAATTTCTTTTAATATATTTGTTTGGTGTTTTTTATTCATTATTAGGATTCATGGATTATTAAAGTATTGCGTATTATTCTTAACATTTATACGCAATAAATTTTAGTTATTAATGCATTTAATAAGTATCCTTTATTATTTAATTAATTACTAAGAACATTTAATAGTTTTTATGTATCGTTTGTCAATGAGACAAAATATGTAGACTCCCTGCTAGGTTTGTAGTAATGCTATTAATAAATGAACGACTAGACCATGTAGTGAAGACATTTGTAGGGTTGAGTTTAAAGGTTCATTTTAAGTAGTAAATTCTAACCGAACGTTCAGGTAATGATCGGGGTTTGGGTTCGATCTGACATTATTAAATAGTTTTAAAGACAACTATAATCATTCTTTAAGAAAATAAAATTTATATTTTCAAAACATATTTAAAAAACAAGTTAATAATGTAATCGGAGGACTAGAACAGTTATCTGAATCAATTATTTGGAAAATTCAAATTTTTAATTGAATAAATTTCGTTTTGTTTCAGATTAAGTCGAATATTAGCTTTTATTTGGTATCAGTATTAGGTTTTATTGGTATATTAAAAAATATATTTGCCAACATTATAACTTACCATGTTCTGGACGCGTTAGACGAACTTGTTCATTTGTCGAAGACGGTTTTATTTGCAGTTCATTCGATGCAACAACATCTCTTCGTGATCTATCCAAGGCAGCTAACGATGATTGCAGTGTTGTTTCAAAATCTGAGGACAATGCTTGTGATAATGGCAATAATATTGAAAGGAACGATAAACCCATTAAAATCCATTTGGTAAATGAAACATTTGGTGTAGGATGTAATGATGATGATGATTTTTGTTTGTGGTAATAATGATGTTCTTGTGGCGGTTGATCATTAAAATGTGTCAGTCTTTGTTTTGATTGAATATTTAATTGAGAATATTGGTGGTTGGCGTGACGTCTTCGATAATGTTTGTGGTTTTTTAAATTTAATCTATTATCACTGCCTGTTGAAGACGAACGATGTAGCAGAGATGGAGCTGTTCTGGTTATTAGGACTAACAAAGTTTTTAATATCATAACAATGTTGTATAATTGTAAAAAAAATCTTCCTTTACAGTCTTTACTCGTTGAAAATCGTCTGTTTACAAAGTTTTTGTTGCAAGTAACATCAGGGGACGTGGACAAATAAGTTCGATGTGTAGTAGATGAAGTATGAAGTTCTGCTGTTGCTGACATTATTGTTGCCGCCGTTGGCGTTGACGTCGACGAAGACGTAGTTGTTAGATTTGTTGTTGTTGTTGAGGCGCAGGATGTTCTTAGTTTGTCCATTTGAGTTCTTAACAAATAATAGGAATTTTGCATATGAATCTCTTGATTGTGGGTGTTACAGTTGTATTTATTGTTATTGTGGCTCGCTGAAGATTCTTGTGCAGACTTATATTTGAGTACGTTGTTGTGGTGGTATGTTGTTGGTCTACAACTACTCTGGCAGTTATTTTTACATGAGCAATTGTTGTTGTATACCTCTTCTTCTGTTGCTTTTGCTGATGATTTACTAACATTCCTCGACTCATTATGTCGTTTACATTCCATGCAAATGCGTAATTCTGGATTATATTCGTAATTATATCTTTCATTGGTCAATTCCGGAGCTAATGTTGTTTCAGCAGATGAAGTAAAGCACAAATTTAGAAATGAACCATTCGTTATAGAATTCGTATTTGTTTTAGTATTTAATGATGTTAATGATTGTGATGTTCGGTTTATATCTTCTTTCGATGTATTCGAAGTTGGATTGGTAGTAGTACTGTGCTCGTTAGTATTGTGATCCATTGATCTAACTCTTTTATGCAAATATAATTTTCTCTTTTTAGCCATTAGTTCACTAATGGTTTGAAATCGAACTTCCAGTTTTGTCAAGTTATCGCCGATGACAGTCATTTTATTAACATTTTCTTTACATTTAAAGTTATTTTAATATCTGCAATTAAAAAAAAAGAGAAAAAAGAAATTACATATAAGAAGAATTTTAAAAAAACCTAGTTAAATAGTTCGATTTGTTTGCGTAATGTAACAAGTTTAAATTATTCGAAAATTTTTCAATTGTAAATTTATTTTTATTTAAATTTTGGATGTTATAGGATCTGTAGTTAAGATATACTTATTATCATACTATTTTATTCAATACAATTGCTTCATTTTTATAAATATAACAATTTTTATGGAAAATTTTTAATTTTTCTGTTTTCCTATTATTCTAAAAAATCATGTACTTTTGACCACCTTTTCTTAATAGATTTCAAAATCTAACACTTGTCTGTCATATACGCCAACAGTTCAGTGCTATGAAATGTGTAAAATAAATAAACTGTAAAAGTCACAAATTTAAATTTACAATTATTACGATATAACAATATAAATATTTTTTCACTTTAAGAATGAATATATCTTTACATACGTATATGGAACATTAGGGCGGTTTGGTTTTTTTTGTTAAGATTTTTTTAATTTTGAGAAGTTTTGAAAAGTGTGAGTTTCGGAAAGTTTGGATTTATTTTTTTTTAATTTGAAAAAAGTCTATAATCTAGTCTGTAATATATTATATAGTCTAGTCTATAGTCTAGTCCAAAGTCTAGTCTATAGTCTAGTCTATAGTCTAGTCTATAATCTAGTCTATAGTCTAGTCTATAGTCTAGTCTATAGTCTAGTCTATAGCCTAGTCTATAATCTAGTCTATAGTCTAGTCTATAGTCTAGTCTATAGTCTAGTCTATAGTCTAGGCTATAGTCTAGTCTAGTCTAGTCTATAGTCTAGTCTATAGTCTAGTCTATAGTCTAGTCTATAGTCTAGTCTATAGTCTAGTCTATAGTCTAGTCTATAGTCTAGTCTATAGTCTAGGCTATAGTCTAGTCTATAGTCTAGTCTATAATCTAGTCTATAGTCTAGGCTATAGTCTAGTCTATAGTCTAGTCTATAATCTAGTATATAGTCTAGGCTATAGTCTAGGCTATAGTCTAGTCTATAGTCTAGTCTATAATCTAGTCTATAAGTCTAGTCTATCTATAGTCTAGTCTATAGTCTAGTCTATAGTCTAGTCTATAGTCTAGTCTATAGTCTAGTCTATAGCCTAGTCTATAGCCTAGTCTATAATCTAGTCTATAGTCTAGTCTATAGTCTAGTCTATAGTCTAGTCTATAGTCTAGTCTATAGTCTAGTCTATAGTCTAGTCTATAGTCTAGTCTATAGTCTAGTCTATAGTCTAGTCTATAGTCTAGTCTATAGTCTAGTCTATAGTCTAGTCTATAGTCTAGTCTATAGTCTAGTCTATAGTCTAGTCTATAGTCTAGTCTATAGTCTAGTCTATAGTCTAGGCTATAGTCTAGTCTATAGTCTAGTCTATAATCTAGTCTATAGTCTAGGCTATAGTCTAGGCTATAGTCCAGTCTATAGTCTAGTCTATAATCTAGTCTATAGTCTAGGCTATAGTCTAGGCTATAGTCTAGTCTATAGTCTAGTCTATAATCTAGTCTATAGTCTAGTCTATAGTCTAGTCTATAGTCTAGTATATAGTCCATTCTATAGTCTAGTCTATAGTCCATTCTATAGTCTAGTCTATAGTCTAGTCTATAGTCTAGTCTATAGTCTAGTCTATAGTCTAGTCTATAGTCTAGTCTATAGTCTAGTCTATAGTCTAGTCTATAGTCTAGTCTATAGTCTAGTCTATAGTCTAGTCTATAGTCTAGTCTATAGTCTAGTCTATAGTCTAGTCTATAGTCTAGTCTATAGTCTAGTCTATAGTCTAGTCTATAGTCTAGTCTATAGTCTAGTTTATAGTCTAGTCTATAGTCTAGTCTATAGTCTAGTCTATAGTCTAGTCTATAGTCTAGTCTATAGTCTAGTCTATAGTCTAGTCTATAATCTAGTCTATAGTCTAGTCTATAGTCTAGTCTATAGTCTAGTCTATAGTCTAGTCTATAGTCTAGTCTATAGTCTAGTCTATAGTCTAGTCTATAGTCTAGTCTATAGTCTAGTCTATAGTCTAGTCTATAGTCTAGTCTATAGTCTAGTCTAGTCTATAGTCTAGTCTATAGTCTAGTCTATAGTCTAGTCTATAGTCTAGTCTATAGTCTAGTCTATAGTCCAGTCTATAGTCTAGTCTATTGTCTAGTCTATAGTCTAGTCTATAGTCCAGTCTATAGTCCAGTCTATAGTCTAGTCTATAGTCTAGTCTATAGTCTAATCTATAGTCTAGTCTATAGTCTAATCTATAGTCTAGTCTATAGTCTAGTCTATAGTCTAGTCTATAGTCTAGTCTATAGTCTAGTCTATAGTCTAGTCTATAGTCTAGTCTATAGTCTAGTCTATAGTCTAGTCTATAGTCTAGTCTATAGTCTAGTCTATAGTCTAGTCTATAGTCTAGTCTATAGTCTAGTCTATAGTCTAGTCTATAGTCTAGTCTATAGTCTAGTCTATAGTCTAGTCTATAGTCTAGTCTATAGTCTAGTCTATAGTCTAGTCTATAGTCTAGTCTATAGTCTAGTCTAGTCTATAGTCTAGTCTAGTCTAGTCTATAGTCTAGTCTATAGTCTAGTCTATAGTCTAGTCTATAGTCTAGTCTATAGTCTAGTCTATAGTCTAGTCTATAGTCTAGTCTATAGTCTAGTCTATAGTCTAGTCTATAGTCTAGTCTATAGTCTAGTCTATAGTCTAGTCTATAGTCTAGTCTATAGTCTAGTCTATAGTCTAGTCTATAGTCTAGTCTATAGTCTAGTCTATAGTCTAGTCTATAGTCTAGTCTATAGTCTAGTCTATAGTCTAGTCTATAGTCTAGTCTATAGTCTAGTCTATAGTCTAGTCTATAGTCTAGTCTATAGTCTAGTCTATAGTCTAGTCTATAGTCTAGTCTATAGTCTAGTCTATAGTCTAGTCTATAGTCTAGTCTATAGTCTAGTCTATAGTCTAGTCTATAGTCTAGTCTATAGTCTAGTCTATAGTCTAGTCTATAGTCTAGTCTATAGTCTAGTCTATAGTCTAGTCTATAGTCTAGTCTACAGTCTAGTCTATAGTCTAGTCTATAGTCTAGTCTATAGAGAGAAGTCACATTTTTCCTTCTCCATATAAATTAGCGCCAATCTAATAATCATGTGTGCGGCGAGTATGAGTAAAAAAACATTTAAAGAGGAAAAAATATTTTCATGAATGAAATAATTATAATTGGCTGGTATGACTGAGTATGGGGCTGATATTTTTGTACTCTTGTATTGTTTATTGACTGGCGGTAAGACATTTTGACTTACTATGTATATAGACGACTGACGCATTTATAAGTTATTCGGCCTGTAAACATGTAAGTATTTTTGTATTTTTTTTTCTTCTTATAAATGAAAAGTACGTATGGTATTTCTAAAAATTCATTCACAAGATAAATTAATGAAAATATAATTCAAATAGCTTTGTAAATATTATAGTTACACAATGTTTGACGACGTCAACCATACAGCCACAATCATCATAGCAATAGTAATAATAATAATAATGCCAAAGACTTTAATCAACAGAAAATATTTCATATATAAATACTACATAGAGAAGTGAAAATAAACCTGCACTTATCATGTCCAGAAACTAGAAAACAAAATCAAAATAAATTTCATGCACATCCAGAGCTTCTAAAGACTTTATTGTACATGTAAGTGTATTTAAGGTTTGGGTTTTTTTTTTTTGTGAGTTTTACTTGTAATTACAAATTCAAATCATAAGTTTTAATATGAAATTCTTGGAATTAATTTCAATGAAATTATTTTTTGTTTTGTTTTAAAATTTGTAAATGTTTTAAATAAATATTTTTATGATTAAAAGTTGAAATGTTATTCGAAATAATTAAAGCTAAATATAGGGGACAACCGAACACACATTTCAGACCGAATCCCAACTTTCATAATTCTGTAAAATTTATTTAAAATAAAAATAAAGTTTGGAATATTAAAGTAAAGATATTTTTTATGAAATTTCCTTTTTAAATAAAGATCGATGTCTGGCCTTCTAGGAATTAAGTTAATAGCAACAAATCTATGAAGATCACGATCCGAATTACCACATTTGGCATCGAGAGAAATTGTTAGTAATTTTCCTTTTTGAGATGATAATATTCGATTTCGAGCAGAAAACCAAGTGCATTTTTGTTTAATTTCGATCAGTTTTATAATTATTACCTTAATAGTAGCTAGTAGCATCATATCTTATTGATCTATTTTCCAAAAAAATCATATCAATACATTCTTTAAAAAATATGTAAATGTATTTATTAAAATCGTTTATTTTTCATTTTGGTGGCTATTTGAAGTCAACAAAGAAATAAAGAAAAAAAAACTACTTTAATTTTGTTATTTATTTACTTTTTACGTAGTTATTTGGGCTCTTATCTTTGGAAAAATTTTATCACACTCAAAATAGGAAAAAAAATAATAATAAAAAATACCACAGGTCCAATAACAATAATAATTTTTAACGATAGATTAACAAAAGAATTTCAAAAATTTCGTAATGTTCATGTGGAATGTGTAGTAATGTGAATAGATGGACGCGGATGGTTCGTTGAATGGATAGTCAGTCGGTTAAAAATGTTTGTATATATTATGCCTATGACGATTGTTGTTTGTTTACAGTTACAATTTATTAACGAACCAACACTAAATAGAAATACGTGTTCGTTAGATATGAATGGAATGGTGGTTTAAAGTGGAATCGTTTGCTTGATGATGATATTTTTTGGTATGCGAGTAACTAGATTCGTTGAAGAAATTTTAATCAAATTTTTATACGAAACTCATACGAATTCATTCATATATTTAACCATTTAGTACTTAATTATGAATGAACTATTTTAAACATCGATTACACGCACTACTATATACCTTAAGTATTTATCAGCTCTTGTAGTAAATTGTTTAAAAGCTTTGAAGGTAAAATTATGTTATTACA